TGGACAAGTCCCTGCAGTTTTCTTGGCAAGATTTCGGAAGTGGTTTGCCATTGCCTCCTTCTTAGGGCTGAAAGGGAGTGACTGGCCCAAGGTCATCCAGCTGGCTTTGTGCCTAAAGCAGGGCTAAAACTCATGGTCTCCCAGTATCTAGCCTGGTGCCTAAACCACTATACCAAACTGGCTCTGTAATGGGTTGGTACTTGACTGAAATACTTCTCTTTCAGCAGAGGAAATAACAAGGCAGTCCTCAGGCTAGCTATCCATGCCATAAAGCAGTTTATTTGGGCTTACTGCGCTATATGAACTCTAATATGATTTGTAAACTGTGGCTCATGAATTAATGTGTTCCATCAATCCATCTTATTGTGATTCATTTAATAAGCCATGGTTAAGCAAACCAAAGCTTGTTAGCTATGCTTGCTTAGAAGTCTCAGTGGCTGCATATGCATGTTATGGAAAGAACCACTTGTAAGGTAAGGTGGTAAATGGGGTGGAGGGGTTGTAGAGAAGTGGGAAGTAGCATCAGTAGTTTGCCTTCTGGTAAATGGGTGCTAGATGACGTGTCACAGCCTCCATGGCAGCTTTTTTAAGCACGATCATGGTTTCAGATTTCACTGGTCTAAGGCTAAGGGACCCTGGACAAGTCCACTGCATGGATCAGTCTTTCATTATAAATATTTCCACCTGTACATATTTTATTCATTTCTTTGCTTTATTTAGGACATTTGTAAGCTGTCCACTTTCTCAATAATATAAGATGGTTTTTAAAAGTAGAATTAAAACAGAATACAATTGAGACAAATCTTAAATCAACATTAAAACAATAAGGTATTACATTAAAATGATTAAAAACAATTAAAACAACTGAAGCCATTACAATGCCTAGGCAAACAAGTATGTTCTGAGCTCTTACCTAAACCAATTGTACAATTTTATACACTATTGTGAACATTGGTGAATCTGTCTCAGGCAATTGGCAACCATTGAACTTGTTTCTACATAGGGGATATGTGGGACTCTAAGGAGGTACCACTTATCATCCATGTTGCTGCATGCTGGACCTCACAACAAGCACATTATGGGAACATTACAATAATCTAATGTGGAGATTTCATGAGTTCATGAGTCACTAAAACTGGGCCTCTTTCCTCCAATTAAGGATTGAAGGAAAAGCTACATAAACAGCCTTCTGAGCCACTGATGTTACATGGCTATCAAACTCTAATGCTGGATATAGGAGGATCCCAAAACTAACCTCAGAGGGAACACAATCTCAGCCCAAAACAGAGTGTAAATTCAACCATAACAGGAATTTTTCATTTGTTTATAGGAAGTTTTAACAAATACATATAAATGTTTTGCTGAATAGTTAATCTTAAAACAGTCTAATATTGGGTTATTCTATAAGTCCTGGCGTACTCTATGCCTTGTATTGACTGGCACTTAAAAGAAGTTCCTTGTGACAAATTTCAAACTTCTGTTTCAGAACATCCCACTACTTATATAGCCTTGTTCTTTTGATCTTATTTGCTTTGACCTGTAGGATCTCAGTAACATGATACAAAAAAATTCAGGGGAGACCATTTTCCTCATTACTCATCCTGATTACAGTATCTTTTATCTGAACTTTTATTCACTATCTGGGTTCACAAAACACACTGGGTTAAAATGTGGTTGGTTAGTTTGTGGATTAAAGTATCATATAAACCATTCAAAAACCTTAACAAGGCTGTCAGGGCTGTTTCATATATTATGTGAGGAGGAACATGGTTTACTTAGTAATCATATGTTTAGCTGCAAAAGCCCAGTTTATGTAACTGGTGCAATTAAGTAACTTCCAAGAATCTCTTAAATATACATCCTAATAATTTTACACCGTAAGTGTACACTTCAGAAATGTAATGCAGAAGAGACACAGTAATCTAGTAGAAGCATTCATCAGTTGTTGATGTTATAAGCTCAAATATCCACAGTAAGCAGGTTAAATATCCAATGTATAGTGCATAGCACCTGTTTTCTGAATGCCATGTGAACTTTATGAATATAATCTATGTGCTTTAGTGAAAAAGTAATCACATCAGGTGGAGGAAAGGAATTTCTACCTTAGGGTTCACTGCATTCCAAAAGGGAAATCCCACAAGTTTAAAATAAGGCTTGATCCCAAACGGCTGTTTAGGATTGTAACTTTAAGTCCAAGGAGTGTGATTTAGGAAGCTACCGAGTTTGAGAACTGAAGCCTAGAAGATGTACAATTCATTACTCTGTAAGCATTTACCAGACTGTTGTCAGCCCTGTTCCTGCACCGTGTCAGATGTTTCCCATGGTGGAAATCACTGTTAGATCTCTGTCGCTTCTAAACTGCCAAGAGGAACAGAGTAATAATTATCTGAAACACTCTACACAGGAAAGAAGGAAAGGAAGCACGGCCAGGCCGTCTACAGCTCCAGCTCGGCAGCTCCGACCCCGCTCATTCCAGGGTCTCCACCCCCACCTTCCTGTTTTCTCTGCAGGGGGTGGCAACGAGGTCACCATCCGAGAGAAACTGGAAGGGGGAAGCGGCAGCTGCAGGGAGGCGAAGAGCCGCGAAGGAACCTGCCGAAGCGGAGGCCCGCGCGGGCAGGAGAGATGGTCGCTCCCCGGCGCGAAGGACGCGCGGATTCGTAGAACAGGCCGGAGGCGGAGCCGGCCGAGAAGAGCAAGCCGGGGACGGACGGGCGCGCGCGACCCATAAGGGAACGCTCGGCAGGCGGCAGCGCCCCGGCCCTGCCCGCGCCGAGCTTGCTGGCTTCTGCGTGGCGCGACGTGCAGCGAATAGGAAAGCCTGCTTTACCTGGGGCCAGAGCGAGGGAGCGTCAGTCAGTCTCCCGCCCCCGAAGCTGAAGAGCCGTCGTCACGCCAGGCGGGCGTCGCGAGGGAAAGGCGCTGCGGAGGCGGCAGAGGGTCGGCTCTTCGCTAAAGGGCGTTTTTGGTTGCGCGCGCTCGCTTCGCAAAGCACCCTTTATAAGCCCCCGCCAACCACCCAGGCTGCGGCGATTCGGTCTTAGAAGCACATCACCCTGGTGGCAGGGGGATTACTCCCCTAAACAACCTGCCCGTAGTTACTCCAGGGAAAATCCCACGAATTGGATGGGGCTGAGTGCCCCATGAGCAAAAGACTGCCCATTTTAGACTGCAACTCCAGAAGCAAATTGTTCCTTTACTTTTAAGACGCAGTCTCAGAAGATGGTAAGCCGAGGTCTGCATTTCAGCGACAATCCTTAGTGGGAGCGCGCAAGGCCCAGTCCAACTAAGCATTGCTGACTTCTCCCGAGTAAATCCCCACCGGCTTGCACGGCGAGTCGATTTCCAGGGCGGTTCTGCCCGGGACAAGAGTCGGCAACCACTTTTCGCTTGCCAAGCTGTCCAGTCTCCCTCCTCGTTTTAAAATCCGATTTGGACTTGGGTGGGAGCAAAGTAAGCGGGGGAGAGGGAAGGCAGCCCAGACGGCCGCGGAACGCCACGCGACTCTTGGCTGACAGGCGCAAAGGGAAGACCGGGCGTGGCGCGTGGCCGCGCGAAACAGGCAGGTGGCGCCGGCGCTCCCGCTGGACGAGAGCTGCAGAAGCGCGCCTTCCTAGCCAGACTTGGCGCCCGGCTTGTGCCCTTAGTGCGGCTGAGGTAGGAACCCACTGGCGTGAGTGAAGTTATTTTGGACTCGGTGGTGCGCTTCTCAAGTTGAGGGGGATACCGCCTGAGGTCCACTCCCTGTTTCTGCTTATGGATCGAGCCTCAGAAAGATCCAACTAAACGATTTGTGGATGCCCTGGCAGGTCTTCCGGGCATGGGTGAGCCCTGGCGCCTGTCATTTTTAGATTTTAAGTACCAGCTGTGGGGCGATAACTGATATTTAAAGCAAATGTTTCTTTGGTGAAACTGAAAAAAAGGGGGGGAGGGGATTTACCAGCCTTTCCAGAAGGCGGGGGAGGGAGGAGGGGTAATTATATTTGGCAGGAGATTTAGATAAAGTTGCCAAAGGGTTTCCCGTTTCGCTTGGCACGAAATCTAGCCTGCTCAACAAACCTTCTCCAAAGTTTCTAGGAAGTAGGCTGGCCGAAAGGGGACAGAGGACTGTATTCTATTTATACTTCCTCATCTAGGGCTGCATTGGGTTTCTGAAGTGGGCAGTGCCTGCTTCTAAATAGACACTGTTTTCAAAAAAATGTGCCTTGCAACGATATTTTTGTTTGAAGAATCCTCTCTTAAAACATTACCAATTCAAAATACCAAACCGGTCATCACCAGTTTTCCTCTGGATAGCACTGCTACATCAGTCATTAGAGTAAGTTTTCAGGATCTGTTAACAATCACCTTGTCTGATCAGGTTAAGCAGGGTTGGACCTGGTGAGTACTTGAATGGAAGAAATAGCAGAATAGCTATTGCACTAGAGTGAAAAATGAATAAAAAAAGGGGGAGAGAAGGCAATCACAACCTGTCTCCCTGTTGCTGATAAAGCTAGTTGGATGTCACCCACAGTCAAGTTTGAGTTGAAGTAGTCATTGCCACCAATAAAGGAATTTACCCCACCCCTGATTAATTGCTCCATACAATCTGGCAGTGGCACCCACTGCATTTGTGCACCACTACAATCCTGTCCTTTCAAAATCCAGAGAAAGAGAAGGAACCAGATCCATTGAACCCATCAAGTTCAGTACCTAAATATTCACCACTCTTGAAGCACCATCTTCAGACAAACTGAGCCAGGCCAGCAAATGGTGTAGAAAAAAGATCCTTATCTACTATTCACTAATAACAAAATACACCTGTCGAAGCCTTTATTGCACAATATTCAGGGTAAGGTGCTCCTGAAATATACAGTACCTATAGAGCTGTCAGTTCAGGAAAGGTGCCATGCCTTGAAAAGTGGCTCAAGAAATAGAGTAGTAGGATGACAGCAGATGCAGGTAGGAACACTCCTTGCTTTATAACTACTTACTTCAAGGCTTGCAAAGATGTAGGAAACTAACTAAAGTAGGCAGATCAACAGAAGTATTATGGTTGTTGCTACTAGTCATGGGGTGAGCTCGCAGTGTTCCAATTCATGCAGTTACTTCGCAAAGGACTGAATCCTGTCACTTAAAGCAAATATATATGTGTACATCCCAGCACATACTTCGATAGGAAAATTGATGTGCGTGGCTACATTTGCAAGTCTTAAAATGCATGAAAAAAGCTTCATAAATAATGTTTTAAGATTACCGCATAAATGTTTTCAGTTTCTGACAATTTAAACAGAAACTTGGTATTTGTGAAGATGAAAATGCACTTAGGCTACTGAAAATTACGTGCAGTTTCCAGCTCACCCAGCAACAAGAAATGCAAGAAACCTGTTCATATTTAAGTGAGAACAGAATTAGCTTGTTAGCAGTGTGGACAAAGTGTTACGTGTGAGACTTTCAGGCATGGTGCCTGTGGAGTGAAAAGGGTAACAGGGCTGTCTCCATTGATCCATCAGATGTCCAGCTAAGCATTATTTTAATTAAGCAGGTGGGTGTTTGGGCTTTTTAATTCTTCAGCTGGTATATCTAAGAAATAATTGCAATAAGTTGTTGCATTGTCCTGATTTTTCTATCATCCTTAAACATGTCTGAATTCGTAGATGATACTGAATATGCGCTCTAAGAAGTATGAGCCAGATAGTTCATTCCAAATTCTGTTTATCATGACAACACCCAAAGTTTGGAGCAAGTCTCCCCAGCTGAATGTTATGTTTATTGATCATTAACAGCCTGCCCTGTGAAATGAAATAGCTATAGCTCAGTAAATGTTGCAATGAGTGAGCAGTACCAAACTGGAAACCTTGTTTAATTAAATTGTGGTCACATTTCATGTGGAACATCCAAAGTGTTAGCATAAAAATATTTTCCATGAAGAGTGTGGTGTGTGCCGTCATATCACATCAGCAAAAAGTTTTGCAGTACTAAATGAAATAGCTATACTCCGCCTTTCATTACATAATTCATTACATAGTTCACAGTTTCCATAAATTATAAAAGACACCCAATAACAAGGTGATATATAAAATAATACTATCTAATTTTTCCACGGCTTTCCAAAAATTGGCTTGTCCCTGTTTTATGTGCCTGCCATGAAGGGTTTTGTTTAGTTTTTTTGCTGGCTTTCAGGGCCTTGCTGCTAGTACTGTAATGCCCTAATTCTTCATCCCTGGGGCCATAGAATTGCAGCCTAAGACTCATTTAGAAACAGGGAGGGAACTGGCTCAACTCCTAAAGGTTTTCCATTAGAATGAATCAACCACAGAAAAGGGCTTCTGTATTTTGCCTGTTAACCTAATAGATCTTACTGGCAGGCCCATTAACAAGGTTTCTGTGGAGGTCTCAAGCAGGTCTCTTTTTTGAGAGAAGAACACCTGTGCAAGGAAGGATAGTGCATGCCTTTGCTGAAAATGGATTGTTCTGCCTTCATCAAAATGATGCTGGTCTAGCTAAATCGGCCAGAATATTTCAGTCAGTGTAGCCCATTCTTTGTTCTTCCAGCATACTTTCTTGTCTTGCAAATTGTAAATCTGCAACTGAAATGAAAAGTTGGAGTTAAACAGAATGCTGTCAGCTGTTCTTACAAACAGCAGAAGCTTTTATTATTTTTATTTACCAGTCAGAAAATGCTCACTTATCACAATATCTATATCACAGGAAGAATTTTATAGAAGGCCAGGTGCTGTGTTATCACTTATTGTTTTACCTGCAGTTGGAATAGCTGGTGTCAGTTAATAGTTTACTTGCTATCAAGTATGTTATTTCCTTTTTGTTGCTTCCTGACTTAGTTCTAGAACATTGCACTATTGAGCAGGCGTGCATGTGCATTAGCAGTTGAATTTTAATGTCACTATTTGGAAATTAAGCCGTTTGTGGTTTAGAGATTAACACTTGTACAGTATGCGCAGTGAGCGTCATTATTATTTTCTTCCGTATTCAGGAACAGCATAACGTATGGAGTCAAACAGCGCCATAGAAGCAGAAAAGCAGTTCCATGAACAGGCCTACCAGCACTTTTTTTCCCTGTTTCCAACAGTTTTCCCCAAGTATTTTTCCTACTTACGGCATTCAAAGTACACTCCTGCTTTGAACTCTACAGGGGAAAAAGCAACTGCTAAAGGCAACTGGAACAGAAAAGCAGTGTGCAGACAAGTAGTTATCACGGTCCTCTGGATTCTTGAGATAGGATTCCTTCCCCAAAATCTGCTTAAAAGAAATGAGCACTGGGGATGTTACTTGCATAACATTTAACATATAGTTAACCCCTTATGAACTGGTTTTAAAGTGTGTGTGGGTGTATTCCTTTTACTACACTAATCAAATCATGTTCTTTTATTTTGAGTTTGGACTTCAGCTACAGGTGAAAACTGGACCATTATTTCTGGAGAGCATCCGAAATGTTTATTAATTCAGTTCATATCTTCTTTGAAGTCTGCCCTTGAAACCATTGTTTTTATATTCTACCATCTTTTTGGTAACGTACATTGTGCCTAAAAATTGCCAGGTAGCATTACAATTATTTTTTGTAACCATGCACAGTTATGCAGTCCCTACATTATGTAGTCCATCATCTTATCAATGCCTTTAAACATTTATGTCTCTTATTAAGAGGCACAGGGTCTGTTCTTTCTTGTTTTGCAACACTTGGAAGAATAATTGGGCCTGGGGTTTTGTCTCTCTGTGCTTTTATAAACCAAATGAACTTGGCACATGGCCTGTTTTAAATTGGCCTGACAGGGTAAAGCTTTTTTCTGGTTTGGTTTTATTTTGTTTTTTTACCATCTGACCTAGCCAGATACATGTGGTTCATTGAGCACAAACACTCAGTGTGGCAGTTCTATATCTGCTTGATCTGGCTAAAAACAATATGTGTAGTGTGTGTGTGTGTGTACACTCATATTCAAGGGGTCATCTTTAATGTTGTTATTAATGTTTAATTAGAGTATTTTGGTAACCAGGCCATCTATTGTCCAATAACAAGTGTGTAAGATATGGCAGTTGGGCACTTTTATAGTTTTGCACATTTACCAAATTGATTAAGAAAGTTTAAGAGCTTTGCTGTTCAAATAGAGTTTGGGGAATAATTTAAAAAATAAATAAAAGATGACTTCCATATAGATGATTTAAATTTTCTAGTAGACCAAAATTGTGATAAGTCTGGGAAGAAGACTATATAGAGTTTTTCAGAGTGAAACAAAAATATTAGTTTTCAAGTGTCAGTGCAACTGAATCACAAGAAGAAGAAAAATTAGTAAGATGTCATGCTGTACCAATGTTAGATTAGGCATTTAGGATACTGGCTTTTTCCCATTTCCCATACTTTGTATGCTTAAATAGCAGCTGAAATGGCCTTTATGAACTTAACCAAGATGTTCATTTAAAAAAAAAAAGAAGCCACTTAACAAAAAGAAGGCTTGGAAAAGCAGGCCCAGATAGTCCCACTGTGAAGCTTATAAAAAAAACAGCAGTCTATCACAATATTTACAGTGGGAGCAGAGATCATTATTTCCTGCAGGAACCAGTATTAACCATGGCACAGAGTGTGTATAATGTATTAAGGCTTCTTGGATCCTGGCTTACTCCTTTTCCAGGATCCATCTTTTTCACAGAAAGAATTTAAAAAT